TGTTGAGGCATTTTCTTAGTCACAAGTGCATTTTTTCGCGGGCCATCAAGCGTTCAAAACAGCATCCCGGAGATTTTTTCATATAGTTCTGGCAGTGATTTCGGTTTTAAGGTCTTCTATGATCTTTCATCGATCCTTTAGGCTAATATGCGCTATTTGCCGATTCTGCCTCTTACTGCTCCTAAAACTGGTTTTCTACTCAGATACCCACTGCTTTGAAATTTCTTAAAAAATACCGCGAAGGCAGACTTCTTGAATTTAGCTAATTCACTGATCTTCCTTATGCTAAGATTTTCTTTTTGCAAAGTTAAAATATTGATCTTATCCAAAGTAGTAGTTTTTAGGTTTGGCATGTTTCATATATTTTCTTCACTTCACTTATTAAACTCTATATCCCAAAAAGTACTCATTATTTTCTTTTAAAAATGCATTATGTATACAAATATATAAACTATATGTAAACATATGAATCTCTTCCACAAAAAATACATATATGTAAGTGGGGAAAATGTATAACAAAACAATGTTTCAACTTTTAGCAAACAATAAACACATTTTCAAATTAGTGAAAAAAAATTTAATAAAAGATTATATTTTTCGACAAAGAAATTCAATTAGGTGTTAACYTATTTCCACATTTTTGAATATTTCTCAAACTCCATGGMCAAGTTCGTTGCTTAAGTCTTTTGAATATTTTCATTTGGGATTATTATTGCTATTACATACCATACAAGGAAAATAACGGGAAATTTAAAATTACAATTTCGCGAGTTTGGAGTATCAATAGCCCAGCWCTGCCCCAGGAAAATCAACCAATTGCTTGGTATGCTAAGTATAGTCTTGGTGATAAGGGCACCGAAGACGACGAACGCAGCCCAAAAGAGGTTGTTACCCACGAAACCATCACAAAAGACCACAAATTTATTTATATGGCGATGCGTCGACATGGATACAGTTAAGCACATAAAAATTTAAAGAACGCGCTAGTTAGGTCATGTCGTCCACATGGAATGTGATGCTTCATCGAAAAGCACCTTCGACTCAAAACACATGGGTAGAAAATGTAAGCAAAGGCGCCACCRCTTCCAATGGAAGGACCAAGTGCTTAACGACCTATCTCCACTTGGAGTTGTACAACTGACATGACCTCGCATAAGTTAGGGGAAACTGACGAAGTTTCGTGTCCTCTGGCCGGAACAACCCACCGTTGTAGTGCCAAAGAAGAAGAACATAACAATAAGACGTCCAACCAATTTAAACGATTTTCAGTAACCTTTGGCGATCTTATGGGTACCGAATGGTATAGAGCTACTAATTCCTGCCGATATGCTTCACTCTTTTCACCAGTAGTCTGAAGTTTCTTAATGGACTCGCTAACAAGGTACATGTCCTGCAGCAAGGTTCCCTTATCCTTTTCGAAGTACTGCTGCTCTCTACCTTGGATGAAAAGGAAATATTTGAATGTCATCGCAAAGTATATTTGCCAAAGTGTGTAGGTAGATCTAATCACGCGATTACGGTTCTGCAACTGGATGGACTAGCCTTATATAACACACTAGTTATTGTTGTTGTACTGTTAGAAWAAATKTTTGMATAATTTGAAGCTAAACTACCGATKTGACCGTCTTTCACCAGATAAAAAAATCCGAGGTTATTCCGATTAAGTAAACCCAACTGTTATGGGAACGTTGACATGATCCAATGAATATTTCTCATACATATATCCTTATATTTTAGTTTTTACTTTAGTCTTATACTTTAGCAACCCTATCGATCATATTTACTATGTTGCATATGATTTTTTTTACCCCAACTTCCTTTAATTTCTTGCAGAGAACAACAGCTCCTCAATATCTTTGAGGTCATAATATCGACGCTGGAGGGCAAATTGAAACGCATCGACAGTCTCGACAAGTCCGTCGAACACATGGTGAAGCGCATGGAAGCGCTGGACAATCGTGTAGCCGACAATCTACTCAAAACCGACGCTGTCATCTCCAAGCTACGCACACTAGACAACAAAATCACCAACGACATACACGGCTCCACACATGACAGCGGCAACGGCRGCGGACGCTCAGCACGCATTGCCAATATGGCCAATGCAGAGCTTTTGGAYAATCGTCTATTGCTGCTCGACCAAAAAGTGAGCGATATTGACACGAAGCTCGAGGTGCTCAAAACACAAATCGATAATAATTTCCTACAAGTGGACGATATTAATGCGGAGGCGAGTGARAAGAAGCCTATAAGCATGAATGTTGTCGAGATAACGAAAGCAATGAATGCGGAAGTAATGAATCACGTGTCGACGGAATTGAATGAATTGCGCGACACAACCGACAACATCGATAAGAAACTGCAATTCCATATAAATATTGTATCGGAGAATGTGGGACGTATGTTGCGCATGGTTGGCGATATACATGAAGCCGTCGTGGATCATCAAGAGCAGCTGAATTCATTGAATGCCACAACAACAGCGATGCCGATTATAAAATCGAGTAAAATCGATGCGCTCGTTAAGCAAATACGACCAATGGTCTCTGTGTCGGAGAAAATGGACGAGGTGTGGGAYGTTGTGGTGGGCACAAAGTCCTCCGTTATCAATGATTTGCTACCCAAATCGGATGCTTTGCTGACGCAAACACAGCGACAGGAACGCGCTATCGGTGAGATACATCACGATTTGAAGGCGAAAACGAATCAAATAATCAACAACTTGGATATGGTGGAGAAGCGCTTGAAGAAACAGGAAGATGATGTGCAGCTGTTGGCACAGCGCCCAGTGCCAGCTGAATTGCTAATGGATCCGACTATTGATCGACTCGTCGAATATGATCCAAATCGGTAAGTAATGATTTTTATGATAAAAGTCTTAATTTTAATAACTTTAYTTTACTGTCATGCAGCTACTCCGTAATCGATGAGTATCCCGAGGCGAATATGCCCACCACACCKATCGGCTCCAGCGCCAGCTCGACCGCGCCACCGCCGACAGCGGCCGCAACAACTGCTACGCTTAACGCATACACCAATGCTCCTACGACAACGCCCAGTCCATCGGTATCTGTGGGCAGTCAGCCTACGGTAACCGCATATACCGTTACCGCTGCGCAAATGGCTGCTAATTTGGCTGGTAACACAGGCGCTTCCACAGCAAGTGTCGCATCATCGGCTGCTACTACGACAACAACATCGGCCAAGCCACTTTCSCGCAAAGGTGGTATTATTTTCCCCAGCGTGAAAAATAAACCGTCTGTGGTGAATTCGACATTCTCCACCGACATACTCGCACTGAAGGACATAAAGGTTAGTATGTATAATTTAGCGGGAAAGTGTTTGTAAAAAAAAAATAAGAAACGCGATAACATCGACTACAAAGAAGCTTGCATACCCTTCACAAATAACGAGGTTTTCATACAAGAACATAAAAGATATTATGACAACAAAAACCAAATTTCGAATTCATCTCACAAATAATAAAAGTTTTCCACAGAAGGACTTGAATTTGMTGATTCAATTTATATCGTAGCTATGTATATGCTGAAGTGGTCCGATTTGGAAACTTTTTTCTCATATCACAGCGTTGCTTTTGAAAATAATCCATGCCAAATTTCGTGAAGACACCTCGCCAAAATAAAAAGTTTTCAATACAAGGACTTGAATTTGATCATTCAGTTTGTATGGCAGTTATATGCTATAGTGGTCCGATATCGGCGGTTCCTACAAATTGAACGCTTCTTGATGTGTGCAAAATTTCAGATCGAACAGGTCGACTTAATTTGACATGTTCATCACATATGTATTTTAGAGGATCTCGTTTTCTTCTATATGTTTGTAAAACTTAGTAACAAAGTTAAACATCCTTTTCAAGGTATAAAAAAAAACTATTTACTATATTGCACAGACACATATACATTTATTTACTTTTTTGTGATGTTTTTGTAATTTTCGCTAAGTTGTTCACTTTGTTTTGAGTATACTCGAGACGTTATAAAATTTTGCTAATACATTTTCTTCGCGTATATATCCTTTCTTAACTAAAATAGACCGATGCGCAATTTAAGTACAATTTGAAATGATATCATTTTCACATCTTCGTAAAAATTCGCTTAAAAAAGTATAAAAGTTGTAAAAACATGGCAATGCTTATTTATCCAAGTTTAAGGTAATCTAACTTATTGGTATGGCAAAAACGTAGAATATCAATAGATAATACAAGATACAAGATAAATATCATTATGTAGATAAAGAGGATAACTTAAAGTAAAATACTACAGAGGCAGGCTGTGAAAAAGTAATAGAGAACAATTTAAAATTAAAACTGAGGATGGAATGTGATTTCGGSAGGCCAAACTTAGAAATAAATGAGTGGGAACATTAATGGGGTGGCGAGCAAAATTAAAGGTATTAATAAGTACGAAGATAGCAGACGCTTGCTATAAATTGCATCTACAGTTCATCTCGTGGGTAAGGCGGTTCTTTGCAAGAACAAGTGTAGACCTGTTCGACCTTCTCCATGCCATGCAGCACAGTAATGGGCGAGACTAGACGGGTGCTCCATTCCTAAAAGCGTGAAACAATAACAGTTATTTTGAGAAAATWGACGAAAAGCTTACACTAAGATGGAATGGGGTGAATTCATGTTAAGTCGAGAGGTGAAAAAATTAGTTAAAATATGCAGATGCCGGAATTTTTTAAAAAATCAAAAGTATGACGATAGCCGGAATACAAACGGGAGGAGAAAACATTCAAAAATCAAAAATATTTGATCAATAGGGAAAAAGAAGAAGATAAAAGATGCAGACTTCGATCAAAGTAGGCAAAATAATTTTAAATAAAAAGGTATAAAAAATATAAATAGCTACATATATACGTATATAAAAATAAAGAAAAAAAATTAGAATAAATAAAATAAAAATAAAAAAATAATTATAATAAATATAATAATATATAAAAAAATTAAGAAAAATAAACAGAATATATAACGTACTTACCTTAAATAAAGCTATATGGTAGCAGTAAATGTGCTGTGGCATTAGATTTGCTTCGACGAATTTACGTGCTTCTGACACAATTTCWCGTGCGCGATCGTCATTTTCTTTTGCCCACTGTAGACGTTCAATTAAATCACTTAAATCGCGTTTAAATGGCACATAATGTTTATACGGCGTTAATTTGCTGTAGAAATGTTCATAGAAACCTGAATCTTGTTTGAATACCAASGAATCACTGGCAAGCAAATAGGGAAAGCGATAAGCAGCGACGACGCCATCCACATTTAGCTGGTATTTATACTGTAAAATGCAAACGCTGACGTTAAATTGAATTTCGCATATTTTACACTTTTCACTCACCCGAAAGAATTCCAAAAACGATATATGCGGCACTTTTGGACCGTACTTGTCTTCCTCGTTGCGGAAGAAGAAGAAATTCGTCAATGATGCATTTAACCAATTGGGATGMATACGCGCCAATTCAATTAATTCAAGTCGCTCGCGACGCGAGTCTCTGCCTCGCCAGAAAGCTTTAGATTCTTTGATGTCCCATGGATATTCGCTTTTTTGCACAGACAACATATCCAGTGTGACACGTCCCATATTCTCTACCGTGGACTCGGTTATGTCGTATGTKGGTAGCACTATGTCGTACGAGTCATCACTACCGCACCACGAGAATATTGGATATGGACCAGAAGTACGTTGTTGTCCGCCTTTTTTCGATAGCGGCCAATCGCCCAAATTCAAATAGAATTCCATATCTGGCAGTAAGGCAACGCGACCTAATGCCAACAAGGTTGCGTCCATGAACATTTTGAAACCAGTGTACTTGCCATAACATTGGCGCCATATTTGTTGCTGTTTCACTACATAATGACACAACGATACGCTCTCCGGTTGATTGTAGCGCCTCAAAAGATTTTCTCGTATAGCGCTAAAGTTGACACGCTTAAATGAGTGCAAGTCCCAAGCGATTTGTTTGTCATTCAAACCTGACGGACAATTGTTGTGCAACATCCACAATTTTAAATCTTGTGGGCAGTAACAACGTTCCGAATATACCTTGTTATATATAACATACGGGGAATGTGCTACATGTGAGCCATTATAGCGCACTTCCAGTTCAACTTGATCACACCAATCGGCGATAGTATAGCGTACAATCGAAGAGCCATCGCCGCGATCGATGAAATTTACATTTGACCGACATTTACCATGCGGCGAATTGCCTTTGATAAGCACTTGAAATTCCTGTGGGGGCGATTGCTCAAATCTGTAATAACAAAAAAAAACGTAGAAATTTGTTATTTGTCAATGCTTTCACTATTTATGTWAATATTCAACATACTTGCGCCCGTTTTTGTCCACAGCATGTATGAAGAAGTAACGCGCTGGTAAAACTACTTCATCCGGCTTCAAGCCAGGCCCCCACACCAGTGATTTTTCGGCATCGACTAAGCGACTCTSATCGATAGAGTAAGCTAAATCAATTATTGATAGAAAAATTGGTAATAAAAGCGTAAACCACAACATTGCACAACTTCTTCCACTAACTATAAAATAAATATTCTTTTACGACGCTAAAACTTTTCCAAACAAACTTCAACTGATAAGCAAAAATTACACCTGATGACGACGTTGCCAGATTGTAAGTAATTGYAACAAATAATTTGATGGGTTATTTAATTTGCACCGAAGTACACATCGTGCAAGAATTCTTTATAAAAGCAATACTTCATTAATTATAAGTTTACCAAAAAAGAATTTTTCAATTAAATCGTTTATTAAATATTTTAGGGTTTTTCATGCGTTGACCTGTTAAACGCTGGTATGCGTCATTCTGGTGTGTTTTATCTGCAAATTCGTGGTACAACCTATTGGTTTTTAAAGGTGTTCTGTGAACAGGAAGTGGCTGATGGCGGTTGGACGGTATATTTTTTAAACAATAAATTTTAAATATTTTACTAACTTTGTTTCATTTTAAGGTTATACAAAGGCGTGATGATTTCGGTGAGCCTCGAGAAAACTTCAATCGCGACTGGGCCGACTATAAGAACGGCTTTGGTGACCCAGCAAAAGAGTTTTGGTTAGGTAATGAAAACATTTATATGCTCACCAATAATGAGGATTACGCGCTACGTGTAGAGCTAGAGGACTTTGAGGGCAATAAGCGGTATATTTATGTCATAAAAATTTTAATATTAATAAAAATAACTTATGTTTAATTAGATATGCGCAATATTCACACTTTAAAATCCATTCCGAAGCTGATTACTATAAATTAGAAATTGATGGTTACGAAGGCAATGCGGGCGATTCGCTTAATGATCCCTGGTACGGCTCAAATAATAGTCCTTTCTCGACTTATAACAGAGATAACGATCGAAGCTCACTGAATTGTGCTAGCATGCTGAAGGTAATAACAATTTTAACCACATTCGCATAGTTATTTTTCAGTTTTTAATATTTTTTTAATATTGCTATTAGGGCGGCTGGTGGTGGAAGTCATGCGGTCGTGGTCTAAATGGCCTGTACTTACACGATCCACAAGATTTAACTGCCCGTCAAGGCATCGTTTGGTTCCGTTGGCGCGGCTGGGACTACACCCTCAAGAAGGCTACCATGATGATCCGTCCACGTGCACCACAACCTATGGGTAGCACAGCATCGTCTTCATAGACATTAAGCAACCTTCGTGCACCTACTTGGAAGCGTAAATTGTAGTTGAAGACAACAAATGTTTTCATACACCTAAAACAAAAAATCAACCGCAAAGCAATTTCAATTCAAAAAAAGTAGTTTTAAAAGCAGCGCGATTATTTACGAAACGAAACTGTWTTCAAGAGAACAGTTATTTTTCAATTGAAAACTTCTGCACTACTGGAAATAAAGCGGAAATACGAATTTGTGCCGAAACAATTTCATGCGCTCCTGCAAACATACAAACTATTCGCATACATAACACATACATACATACATAACTACACACTTGCATCTAAAATGTAATTGTACCTACCAAATTTTCGGGTTGATTTGATTTTGTTTTTGAAGTTATTATTTTTTTTATATTTTAGTTTTCGTTGATAGCCAATTATATATACGTTTACATCCTTTTTTGTTATTTGTTCTACAGATATTAACTTATTTTATCATACATATTGCATAAAATACATATGTATATTATTTTCGTACATGCATAGAATCATTATTTTTAAAAACTCTTTAAATATATACATAAATGTATATACATATATATTTAATATTGGAAAATATTCTATTGTTAACACAACAATTGCCAAATTCATCAACGCATCGGACTTTGTAGTAAATTCTATGCATGAAATTCCTATTGTGACGTAGCGCGTTTGACGTACATAAATGTCTCCAATAGCGTTAGCAMTATTCGAAAAATTATAAATTAAAATTGGCCGGTTATGTGACAATATTTTGCCCTCTAAATTTTAGTTAAATTGCAGCATATTTAAAAACAAATTATRTGCAGTTAAATATTTAAGTAAAACAAAGCAACTTCTTTAACTAATTGCATTAACTAACTGTCCACTTAAGTTTATCTTTTCGAAATTGAAGTAAAGCTCTTTCATGTTTTAATTTCATACATTTCCCGCGACAATGATGTCAACTTCATCAMTTTAATATTTAAACTCAATTCAGTTATCATATTGTAAATATTATTCCTTCCTCATATCAGCAACATATTTTATACTTTCGCATCATTTTCTTGTTTTTGTCAATTTTTACCAGTAATTATGACATTTGTTTGGTTTTTTTTTCTTGTATTCATTGTTATTCATATTTATGCAATCAATCCAAAAATGTACAGAACCTTCAATATACTCTTAAATAGAATTCGTAAAGGACAAAACAAATATAGTATTTKTAAGAGATTTTGTAGACAATAAATAAAATAGTTATAAAAGAATTACTGTTAAAATTAATTTGACTTTGCGGACAAGTAGGTAAGTATGCCTAATAGAAAGCAAAAAATAATTATTTAGGAAGGGAGGCAAGAAGCTGGTACTTTGTGAACAATTTCGCAGATTGTACCGTTGACATGGATAAATTCGTGAAGATATCTCGCTAAATRCAAATCTTTTCATACAAGAACTTAATTATGATCGGTCAGTTTGTATGGCAGCTATATGCCTCAGTGGTCCGATCTAAACAATTTCTTCGAAAATTATATCGTTGCCTTGGGCAATAATCCTTGCCCAATTTCGTGCAGGTAAATCATTAAATACAAAAGTGTTCCATACAAAGACCTSATTTTGATTGTTAGGATTGTATTGTACATATGTATGTATGTATATACATAGATAGGTTAGACTAGATAAATAGCCTCTCCTAAGTCACAATAACTCACTAATCCTCAGAATATTGATAAATTCCAATAACCTGCTGGATGCTAYGGAGGTGATGCGATCCCTACTTGCGAACATAGGCCTTTATSCTGCGCCTACCGACTGCTGTGCAGTCAATTAGCAGATGTTCTGGAGTTTCAGCCTCCATGTCGCAGAACCGGCAATTCGCACAAGAACCTAGGCCCATGTTAGATAATATATGCTTACAGTGGCCAGTATAGAAGTCGAGAAGTAGAATTTGTCCCTTGGGAGACTGATAACATATATAAACCTTTTAAGGTTGTAATCGCCCATTTGCAACTTAGTTTGCCTTATGRCTTGGGGTTGTTGCCAATACCCCTCCCTAACCACTCTTTCATCCTTGCGGAGCAGCTCCTCTATGGTTTGGGGATTAACTGCAATCAAAGGTACGCGTTCCTTCTGTTCTTTCCCGGCTGTACCCTTGTGATCGAGCACCCAGATAAGGTCCACATGATTACAATCTGGTAGAGATCTGGTAGCCGTTCTATTAACTCCTGCACCAATGACGATTTGTTCTCATAAGCATAGACTCTTGACGATAGCTGATACAGAGAACGTTTATCATAGAGAAGGTTCACGRCGCGTAGAACGTAAAAATATTTTTGGATAACTCGGTCTAGATGAGGRCATTTCACGTTCTCTAGCTGATATATATATACGTTCATTGCGATAGTTGYGTTGCTGGTTTATCCCTACGCACCGACCTATAGCAAATACCTATGCTTGGAATATGCACGGAAAACTTCCCGTAGGTATGGAGAGCTTGGTACATGCTTCCTGCGACCCCTTGTACCTATTACTATCCCTGAGCAGAAGGTCTGGAGTGAAATCATTCCTTTCAGATTTAATAAAAATACTTGTTAATTTTACAACAATTATTTTATACTTTTATTTCACATAGACTACCATTAAATCACTAAGCTACTAATCAGCTGAGAWAATATTCAACATGAAGAAAATATAAACTTTATGTAATAATATTATTGTTGATTGGTTTAAAAAGAATTCAATATTTTTAGCGTCGTAATCATTTCGACATCACTGTACACATACGTTCTACACACGTGTGTCAGTTGTCAGAAAAACCAAAGCAAAGATTTGTGGTGCAGGTTTTCAATTAAAATAAAGTGCGTTTACTTTATTTTTTAATAAATTATCAATTTAACAAGAAATAAAATGAGTGATAGTGAAAATGAGAGCATTCAGGATTTGCTGGAATGCGCTGCAGAATACGAAAATTTGATGCGCGAGAAATTAAAGACAGAAAATAAAAGTAACGTAAATAAACACAATGCAGCATCGAGCAACAAGAAACATACCACCATCAGTGATGATACTCAGGAACTGCCCATGGAAAAGGTTATATTTGGCGATCGAGAAGGATTACTCGAGAATTTAGCGGTMGCCGTTGGTGAATCTAAAAAAATCATTGATGCTGCTAGTGAGGAAGATGATTTGAAAGATAGTAGAAAACGTAAACCTGCTTGGACCGACGCGGATGACACAGATATTACATTGGGAGAAGTGAAACGCCCTACACGTTTCTCAGGTCCGCACAATCATTTGCGGCAAGATAAATCTTACAAAGAATACCTAACGGCACGTTATGTACGGACTGTGCCGCAGCCAAAATGGGCAGAGTTGGATAACAAAAAGGTGTCTGAGGATGCAGAGGATGAGGCACTGCTGCAGACTGTCGGGTTTGTAGCAAAACCGGATACGAATACTTTACGGCAAACGCATTTAGAATTCAAACGATTGAAAGATTTAAATCGTGCCACATATGCTGAAGGTTCCATTAGCAGTATACAATTTATACCAAARAGCACAGCGACATTGGTAACTGGAACATCAGGCATAGCAACAATATACAGCATTGACGGCGTGAAAAATGAAAAGTTACACAATATACGTTTCGATAAATTCCCGATAATGTGTGCACRATTGAAGCCGTGTGGCACGAAGGTAGCTGTTTTTCATTATTATTTTTTTATTTCATTATTGTTTTTCGTTTTATTTTTAGGCAATTTTCGGGTCTACAAAGCGAATATACTATGTRTACGATCTTTTGTCAGCGCAGGAAGTGCGCTATAAACTGCCCGAGGAGGTTACGACTCTGCGCAACTTCAGAATATCTCCTTGTGGTCGGTACATGGCCGTCGCTGGTCGTTTCGGTAACATGCATGTATTTGATGCCTTCTCGCAAGAACTTATACACACTTTTAAGCAAAACGACGATGTAGCATCAATGTGTTTCACCGCCGATTCTAAAAACATCATATGTAGTT